AGAGAGAGAGAGAGACCCACCACAAATTCAGTTACACAAAAAAAGGAGTAGAGATAAGGACAAGAGATGTTTGATATGAAAGGGCGAGCAAACCACACCACAGCGCCCGCCAACCACCCACCCAGGCAGAACAGAGAAACAAGACAGACAAACTTTTAACAACATTGGTAAATTAACAATGGAATGGAAAGACCTACCAGTGGAGCCCTCCAAACATCCGCTAGTCGGCGTTGTTTCAATGTTTCCTGAAAATAGAAAATAAGAACTCATTTTAGGACACTTGATCACTCATCCCTCTAAAATGTTGACAAGTGAATAAGAACGAGGGAGGGGTGGAAACAAATGACGGAAAGTAGAGAAGAAGATGAATCTACAAGTGGCGCCCTTTATACTCACCAAAAAGCTGAGTTTCTTACTTGATCTAGCTTATGTGTTGTTTGTTTTTGGTTAATTTATTTCTTAGTTCATTCCTTCTTTTGCGTGTTTGTGTATGAGTATGCATTTATTATTTTTTCGGGGGGGGGGGGGGGGTGAAACATTAAGCTCAAACCAAAATAGGCGTTATTTTATTCTCAGTGCGGAGTTAATTCTCACATAAAGACGTAGAGGACATAAAATAATATGTCTGATCAGCAGCAGAGACCAAAGGGCAATGTTAAGACACGTTTTGAAACGTCATCCGCTAATCAGAAATAAGAATTTGCATAATAATTATATTGCATGTGCGTGTCTTGTTGCCTGCCTTTTTAGGTCTCAGATAAATTGACCATACAGAATTTAAGAATCTGCATGAATAACAAAGTAATGCACCCCCTAACAGTACATTTTCAAGCGTTATTGAACAACCACAACGCACGATCTCGGGGATGTTTGTTTGTTTGAGTAAAGAGAAGCCAATATCGATTCAATAATGGTCATTAAGTGCTGAGAAAAAGTAGGACAGGCAGACCGAATGAACGGAGGGAAATTAAAGAAATAGAACCAAGCCGTGCCCTGCAGCCACACACAATCTCGGTGAACCTGGCAGTGACATACATACACGTTACACGTATTTAATTGTTTCTGGCGTTTCTGAAAAAGTTCACTGACCTGCAGGACAAACGTTATTTCAAAGATGGCAGGCGTAGAGAAGTGGGGAAAAGGTGGGAGATAAAGAGACAGTCAGACAGACAGACAGACAGAGAGACAGGCAGAGAGATGGAGAGAGAGAGAGAGAGAGAGA